CCTGCGGCCGAGGCGTCGCCTCAACCGCTGGCTGAGGCACCGTGCCTCAGCCATTGGCCGAGGAGTGTGGCCTCGGCCTATCTTTTTTCTTTCTTTTTTTTTTTTCAATGCGGCGTCGGCCGACTTTTGGTTGAGTCGCAGCCTCAGCCCGGCCGAGGCGCGACTTTGGGCTGAGGCGCGTGGCCTTGGCCCGGTTTTTTTTTTTTTTTTTTTTTTTTTTTTTTTTTTTTTTTTTCTAAATCTCCTGTAGAGTGTAGTGACGACCGTGGTTGATCGAAGGTGGTATTGAGAACCTTTTATTTGAGCAAAGTAACCTGGGCAGACCATGATTACGAAATATTGTGACCTTGAGAAATTAACTTTGAGCGAAGTATCCTGGGCAGACCATGATTACTAATACTGTTTACAGGTCTGGGCGGACCACGACTACAAAGTATTACTGATAATATCTAACTAAATGTTCTGAGCTCCATACCCGATCGATCATCCTTGCAGATGGTGTGGACTTGTAGATTCTTTCCGCCAATCTTTTTGCATGCTGTTACGTAACAACTGCGGGCTGCTCGCTGGTCTCCTCTGACGGCTCCTATCACATTCAGAGTAGGGAACTTCATACACAAGTGTTCCCCAGACACTATGACCTTGAGGTCCTCCAGTGCCGGCCTCCCCAAAATGATGTTGTGCGCACAAGTGAGTCTTACCACGATGAATTCCACGTCGAGTTTGCGAATGTTAGGGCTCGTGCCTATCTCCACTGGTAAGACCACTGACCCCTCCGTCTCCACTGAATCACACGTAAATCCAGAGAGTGGGGTACGTACTTCTTTGAGCTGGTTCCTAGGTATTCCTAACTTGGTGAAGGCATCGTAATACATCACATTGACTGAGCTTCCCGTGTCGACTAAGATGCGGCGGACAATGACATCGTTGACGTCCATCTCAATCACCAGGGCGTCACGATGGGGTAACGGGCCCTCTGGGAGGTCATCATCAGAGAAGGTGATGGCCTCCTGTCTCTGTTTCTTTTCTCTGGGAAGACTCACCACTTCTCCCACGTATAGCTGGCTTCACTTATTTCTTTCCGCGGGCGTGTCGCCCCCTGCGGGTCCACCATAGATAAAATGTATGGTGTGCTTCTTTTGTCGTCTGGGCACCACCGCGGTTTCTTTCTCACTATCATTCTGCTCAGATATTTGGTCGTGTTCTCTTTTTTTGGCGTTCGAGGTGGACGGCTCGGTGCCATCCTAATTCCTCCAGACATTTGTTGGTGGATTGTGTTGCGGCTGTTGCTGCTGCTTGGATCGCTTGACGAAATGTCGAAAGTAACCCTGCTGGACGAGTTCTTCTATTTGTCCCTTTAAAACGTGACACTCATCCGTATCGTGGCCGGCTTGCCTATGAAACCTGCAGTACTTTGTTTGGTTTGCCTTTGGGGAGACCTTCATGCACTCCTCGGGAAATTCTACCATTCCCATCTCCTCAACTTGCTTTAGGATGACACTGACGGGATGGGTAAGAGGAGTTAAATTACACAAGGGGACCAGGCGAGGTCGTTCGTGGTCTCGGCCTTTCCCTGCGGTCGGGTGGTTCGAGAGTGGTGCCTGGCTGGGCGGACCCGCTTTCCCAGGCTTTCCACCTTTCCTACCATCCTCTTCGTCCTTCTTCTTCCTGTCGACGTCGTCTGCTTCGGCATAGCGGCTAGCCGTCCTTATCAGATCTTCGTAAGAGCGGGGGTGATAGGCGTTCAACTACTTGTGGAAATACCCTGATCTTAAGGCATGGATAAATATCAGGATCGCCGCCTTGGAGTCGAAGTCGTAGACATTATTGACTTCCTTTTTCCATTTTATCAGGAAGTCTTTGAGGCTCTCGCCTCTATCTTGCTTCACTACACAGAGGTGAGAGAAGGGTTTCTTACGCTGTATGCTACCGGAGAAGTATGTTAGGAAGCTCTTGGGCAACTCCCCAAAGATTTGGATTGACCCATCCGGGATGGTGTTGAACCAGTCTTGGGCCGCTCCATCCAGGGTAGACAAGAACGCTCGGCACATGATGGCGTCCCCTGCCCCGATTATTATCATATCAGCCTTGTACCTCGTCATGTGGACACGTGGGTCAGTGGCCCCCGTGTACTCTTTGATGGCGGGCAACCTAAAGTCCCTCGGCAAAGGTACGTCCATGATGCTTGGGAAGAATGGTGCTGCCATTCGTACCTCGGGTTCCGGCGACTGTTCCCGTGCCTCCACCCTTCTTGCTAAATCCTCGATTCTTCTCTACAGCCTCTCGACCAGGGCCGACTCGCCAGGGTGCCGGCGCGGGGCCGGCTGCCGCTCCTCCAAGTGTCGGTGTGGAACCCGCTCATCGGCGCGTCGCTTCTCCGCCGAGTGCCGACGTAGGGCCGACTCATCAATGTGTCGGCGTGGGGTCGGCTCCCGAGACTCGCCCACCTCCTTTGTGGGTGATCTCTCAGCTTCTCTGTTTTCGTGTTGGCGAGGGCCTCTGGTAGAGGACCCCTCGGCCCGTGATCCTAACCTTTGCCGCACGGGCGCCCTCTGTCCCAATCATTCTGGTGCAGATTGGGAAGGGCCTGGTTGCCGTCTGGCCGGTCCACTTCTATGGGTCTCTACCGCTATTTCCTGGGGCAGCGGCGGGGACACTTGGCCTTGCAGTCCCATCGCCACCTGATTTAGCACCACCGTAACTGCTTGCTGAATGACATCGGCAGTCGCCTGGAGGTTCACGGCTTGGTTCGCCCCTCCATTGTTGAGTTGGTCTCGAAGGTCCCCGGGCCTCCCGTTGTTGAGCTGTTCTCGAAGGTCCCCTCCGTGATTGTTGGTGAGTTGGTCCCGAAGGTCACCTGAGGCATTGCCATTGTTCACGTTGCGGAACCGTGGGAGCTGTGGGACACCATTCATTCAAGCTTGCTGTTGAAAGAGGAATGAGTTGTGTGTGTCGCCGCCTACTTGAGTGTGGGACTCAGGCTCTCAATGAAAGCACCAATGATGGTAAATATGTTACCGGTAATAATAATATTTGAATAACGCTGTGTGAAAGAATGACAATAGTTGTATTGCCTTAGTGTCTTAGTATAGAAAGTACAATGTGTCTTTGTCCAGAGTATTGAACGTGTCCCCTCAAGCTGAGGGGAGCATCTACTTATACGAAGGTGCCAACGGTAACAACATGAGACATAAATGGGGAGCCAAGCCTTTAATTCTCTCTCATCAATGGTGGCTTCAATTGCAATAAAGGTGACACCTGTTGGAATTCTGTCCATTGGAGTTTTGCCCGTTGGGTCTCCATGTGGTGCCGGGTAAAATATGGCGCCGGGTCAGATGCCCACTTATGATCCGGGTCGGGTGCCAGCCTTATTATCCTGTCAGTAGTATTTGTAAATTTTATTGAATATTGTTTATTTGAACTTTTTTTGTGAATCGGACGTATCCTTGCGTGAACTGTTATATCATTCTGATTGTAGGAAGATAATAAGAATATAGTAAAGAGAAGACGAGATACGGAGAATATCATCAATCTTTCAGTATAATATATACAAAATATACAGAGTACGTTCTAGTATAACTACAATACTACAAAAGATGAAGAGGTATTATCATAGTATAAATGTATAATACCGATAGTAATGTCCACATATATTTATTCACAACACTTCCCCTCGGAAATTACTATATCATACTCATGCCTTGTTAAAACCTTTATTAGAAAAATCTTGTGGAAGAAAACCTAATTGATAAAAAGTGTACATGATAATGTGATATGTATGCATTTATGTATTGCACTAGCTGCCTCGTTAAAAAGAAGATAACATCAACACACACACACACACTCTCTCTCTCTCTGTGTGTGTATATATATATATATATATATATATATATATATATATATATATATATATATATATATATATATATATATATATTGAAAGGAAACTGCTGTAGTATATTAATGAATCAGCAAAGCAATAGAGTCTGGAGGGACACCGTCCTAGTACATAGAACAATCCTGAACAGAATCCTGAACAAAAGCTGCAGTAGTTAAAGTGTGAGCATGAAAATTTAAAGTTCTAGATACGTAACTTAAAGAGCAACTAGAAAACAAAGACAAAGAGGCCCAACATTGGTCCACAATGACCCCAACATAGGATAGGATGGCTGAGTTGCCCGAGAAACATAGTTACGTAACTCTGAGCAGTCAGTGAGCAAATCCACAGATGACACATTCCGATTTTTGAGCCAAGAAAGAACCTCCATACAAGCCAAAGATTCCGCCATTAGCAGAGAGAAACAAAACCCAAGCTTGCCATTTCATGCCGCCACGAAGGCACCATCGTGCGAGATCAAGACCGTTCCGAAAGAGGACTCCCCTGTCGACAGCGGGTAACCTGCATCGAAGTGGCATCTTAGGCGTGAACCATCCGCACTACTGATGGTTACTGTAGGAGGTGAATTCTGGTGCTAGAACTGGCGGAAAAGATGCAGAGAAGCTACCGCGGCATTCCACGTTTGTCTTGGCAACGGCAGCGCCCCATTCCACACTGCCCGATTCCTCGGCCGCCACAGCTGGTAAAGGACAGCAGCCACGAGTCCAACTTCTTCCTCTGTCATGCATATCATTACATTTTTGAGCCACATAGCAAAAGTGTTTCCAACAATATTTGTGATGGGAAGGGATGATTCATTCCATACGAGCCTGGAATAATCACACAAAACAAGGGCATGCATAACATTCTCATGATCTAAGCCACACATAGGACACATGGGATCCACTTTCAACCTCTTTATAAGCAAATTTATAATAGTAGGGAGGATATCACTTAAGACTCTCCTTAAGAAAGCCCTCCACTTGGGAGGGACTTTCAGCTTCCACAAAGCAATCCATTTATCAAAATCATTTGGGCTAGAGTCATAGTTACCAATAATGTGCCTGTAACCACTCTTGACCGAAAGCATCCCTTGGGATCACTAAGCTAGTACCATGAATCCTCAATCTGGGCTAACAGGGGTCCTAGATATGTGAGCCACATCCTCATGAATAAAAATGTCAGACAAGATATCCAGAACCCAAGAATTGGAAATAGGATCAATCAAACCTGAAACCAAAGCCCCATTCAACTCAGCAAGTATATTAGTTTGTATCAGTGGACTTGGGTCATCAGGTAACTAGGGATGTCCCCAAATCAAAGTATTATTACCATTCACTATTCTTCTCCTCACACCACTACATACAAGATCATGAGCCGCTATAATACTTTGCTAACAATAACTCCGGCAATTCCCTATAGATGTATCAATAAAGGATGACTTGGGGAAATAACGACCCTTATAAACTCTAGCTGCCAGAGAGGTAGGATCTGTAAGAAAATGCCAGGCCTGCTTCCCTAACATTGCCACATTAAAAGCACGAAGATCCTTAAAATCCAATCCCCCAAACTTCTTAGGGACACAAAGACGATTCCAAGCCTTCTAATGGACTCCTCTCTCTCCTCCATTGCCCCACCAGTACCTATTCATGGTCCTCTCAATAGATACACAAACTGACTCAGGAAGCAAAAAAAAAAAAAAAAAAAAAAAAAAAAAACACTTATAGAAAATGTGGGCATAGATTGAGCCACACATTTCAAAAGAACTTCCTTACCTGCGTGGGTCAGTAACTTCTTATTCTAGGAACCAATCATCTGTTTAATCTTGACTTCTATGTAAGAAAACACAGCCTTTTTCTGTCTGCCCACAAACGATGGCAAACCCAGATATTTACCAAAGTTAGTTGCTTGACTCACGCCTAACAGAGCTGCCACCTCTACTCTCACAACCCCCGAAGTATTCCTGCTAAAACAGATATTAGATTTGTGAAAATTCACAACCTGACCTGATAACATCTCATACTTGGTTAGGCACTACTTAACAACACTAGCTTCCTAAGCATTGGCTTTAAAGAACAAGAGGCTATCATCTGCAAAAAAAGAGATGGGAGATAGGAGGTGTCCCTCTGGCCACCCTGCACCCGTGGATGGCGCCCTCAAACTGCGCTTTTTGGAGTAATAAAGATAGACCCTTAGCACATATAATAAATAAATAGGGGAGAGAGGGTCGCCCTGCCTGAGGCCGCGAGTAGGAGCTAAACGACCACTACTGACACCATTCACCGTAATGGTATAAGAAATAGTAGTCACATAGAGCATAATCAAATCAATTAACGAGAATCAAAACCCAGGGCCAACAACGTCTTACGAAGGAACGACCATTCCATCATGCCATATGCTTTTTCCATGTCTAACTTTAAAGCACCCCACCCAGTAATACCACACTGCTTTCTGTTCAAGAAGTGACCTACCTCAGCTGCAACTAGAATTGTTAGTGATAAGCCTTGTCGGTACAATGGCACTTTGTGACTCCGAGATGAAGTCCCCCAAGAACGGTTTCATTCTGTTAGCAATCATCTTACCGATAATTTTATAGACAACATTACACAAGGCAATGGGTCTCAAATCGGTCACAATCTCAGGCACACTTTTCTTTGGGATAAGAACTACATTAGTGTCATTTAGGCCAACGAGAAAAGAGCAGTTATTCAAACAATTTATCACAAAAGCTGACACATCCATCCCTACAACATCCCAAAAATTCTAGTAGAAACCCGAATTCATTCCACCCGGGTCAGGCGCCTTATCAGAAAATATTGAAAAAATTGCAGATTTCACCTCATCCAACTCAAAAGGGCGAAGAAGGGAGTCATTCTCTAGGATTAGGATGTGACACAATAATTATGCGACACCAAAATAGGAAGATAAAACAAGAAACTAAGTAATTCATGTAACATTATTTCAATATCATTTGAATTGCAATTTAAGACAATAATAAATAGCAAACACTAGATAACTCAATAAAATAAAACACGGACCCAAGCAAGAAAGCACAATCTTGGCGTTTGGTTCACGGAATCTTGGATTACCCCAGGTAATAGGATTACCTCTAGGAAGGTAATGTGAGATTTTGGGAATGTAAGATTACCTTATGTGTTTGGTTTGGATTGTGGAATAACTATATATTTTAATTACATTTAAATAACGTTAATTGGGCTGGCCCGGTGTGAATGGAGATTAAACTTAGTATGATACGGGTTTAAAGGTGCTTCCTACAGTTAAGACATGCTCAGGATACCTCGTGGTCTAACAAAAAAAATATCTCTATTATTTTAATTATTTTTTGGTGATTACAATCTTACCCTATATATCTATAGTATCTGCTCAACATGATTATGTCAACATCCTTGATCGGAATGAGACAGGAACCTTGACCTTCTGTTTGGAATGGTAACAGTGATGTCATTTTAATTATTTTTTATTAAATATTTATACTTTAAATTTTATAATTAATTAAAATTGAAAATGTAATGTATATTTCTAATACATTTAAAGGGAAACCTATACTTCTTACTTTTTTTGACTACCTATACTTTCTTACTTAAAATCACAAGTTAATACCATTATTAAACTCCATAATCTTTGACATTAACAGGCACAATATAATTTATAAAAAAAAATTGCATAAAACGAATTGAAAAGCCAATTAATATTTTATATTAATAATTTCTATCTATATGTTTTAATCACTTCAAAAATTATCCAAACTATACATTTGTCGTCACTGTGATGTATGTGGCTAATTGTAATCACATTTATTAGAGCCATGCTTTGTAATCCAAAAAGTAGATATCAAAAGGGCCAAGATTAATGATTAGTCTAAACTTATGGTAGTGAAGATCACGACTGACTAACCAAATAATCCTCTCTTTATATGTCACATTACAATTATTAAGCTATCCAACCAGGCGCATGGGTGAAAATGAGTTAAGCCGAGCTTGAACTTAGAATAATTTAAATTTGATTTTGAAATAAATATAGTACTAAGTTCAATTGAGCTTAAAAATTTAAATTCGAGTTCGCCTTGTTATACATACGAGAGTTAAGTTATACACACATGTAGAGGGGGAGGGGGAGGGAGCGGGGAGCTTGCAAGCGGTTTGACAAGCTACACGCCTAAAAATTTTAAGCTCGAACTCAACTTGATTATATTATTTAACAAGTAAACTCAAGTTTGAATTTGAATAAACTCGAATTATTAACTGTGCAACTCGTTAGGACTCAACTTATTTGCACCTCTAATTAGGTGAGATTATGATTTAATAATTAATCAATTATAATGTGTCCTGTCAGACGGGATTTTTATCACTTAAAATAACTCTAATGCGTACACCTTCTACTTAAACATGTACTTTTCAAAAATGACAACACAAATATAGCCACTTTAGTGGTGGGGAGCATGTATGTGGCCATTTAGATTTGTCACTTGGTGATTTTATTTTTATTTAGTTTTATTTTTTAATAAAATACATCATTGTTTGTTGTTAGAAAAAAAAAACAAATAAAATTGCAATGATTGAGCTTAATTGTATCATCAAATATCCAATAATTTTGGCTGAGGACAAAAAATTAGGTGAACTAGCAAGTATATACTGATGTGATATAAACGAGATGACCTTGCTCCCCTCTCTCCCCCCCCCCTCTCTCTCTCTCTCTCTATATATATATATATATATATATATATATATATATATATATATATATGTGAGTAAATCTCAACCATTTATCTGGTAGGATCTAACGAACTATTCTAGAGTTAGGAAAGAAAAAATTACAACGAAATTTTAGTAATTTTTTCTAATTTTAAAACGTGCACTTTTCAATCTCTGGGTTCTAGCTATTCACCACAAATGGATCTCCCGATATAGTAGATATGGCAGTAGTGTCAAAAAGTTGGTGAACAGATGAGTAAAGATGGGTATGTATGAAATGTCATTCTCTAGGATTAGGATGTGACACAATAATTATGCAACACCAAAATAGGAAGATAAAACAAGAAATTAAGTAATTCATGTAACGTTAGTTCAATATCATTTGAATTGCAATTTAAGACAATAATAAATAGCAAACACTAAATAACTCAATAAAATAAAACACGGACCCAAGTAAGAAAACACAATCTTCTAAATGTTTGAGGACCTAAGGATTAGGGGTAAAATACCACGCACTTAAGAGTTATGGTGAAAATGCACACAAGAATCCAAATTTATAAGCAACTATTGTGATCAAGTAAACAAAAATTAAGACCAAGAATTATTCCATTCTCGTGGTGAATCACTTCTAACTTTATAAGTCCTTGAAGCACAATAAGCAATTAAATTCCCCTATCTCCCCTATTTTTATAGAAGGAAATAGAGTTTATGCCTAAGGAGTGGCTTAGAAATCTTTATTCTAGGCTTGATGGCGTATTAGGATTCAGTATTTTAGGCACACTAGGATTACTTGTCATTCTTCCTGTATTATTCAGATATATCCTTTACCATTCATGTCCTGCTTGTGACTCTTTAGATCCTTATAAATACATCCGATCTGTTCCTAACTTGATACACAATAAATTGATCAATATAGAATCATTCCCAGAACTAATGTTCTCATCAAAGTTTCCTTCTGGCTCCCAAAGCCTACTAGAAATATCTACAAACTTTCAAAGTCTTTTATCCCGAGTATATGTATCGATTTCCCAAGCTAAGTTTACCTAGGATTATCTACTGATTTTTCAAAGTTGATCTCAGACTCTTTCGAAAAATCTTGATATATATTAAAACTTAAATGTTCCGAGAAGACTTTAACTTCTAAATACAACCAACCATATGACCAACATTCCTGATCAACAACAACAACAATAATTCCTACCATACAAAAATAATATGTTTAATTCCACAACACAAAAATATTATTTAAACTTTCGGTAGACATGTCTAAGCAAATAAATTCAACAATTTACCACATATGTAACTAATATCCATATTACACACACATACTCAAACACGTTCTTGCAACCAAGTTACAAAATCATAAGTTGTGTTCTTAAAAATAACAAAACAAGTAGGGACCTTGTGGTCTAATGACACCAAATTACTTTTTTATGTGAGAGATTGTGGGTTCGAGTCTTGTACATTGTAATAAAGTCAATAGCACCCAAAACAATAACAAAACAAGTAAATGATTTTTGAAAATAATTTTTATTACAATATAAAAATAGTTTAAAAATTTATTTGTCAACCTCAAAACTTTTAGCTTTCCCTTGAAATATTCAAATTTTCTAAGTTTTGTTTTTCATTATTTTTATAACAGTGAAATTCGATATGATATTTACTTGAATAGGGTAAAAGTATTAATATAATAATTTATTTATTTAGGTGTGCACATTATTTTTTTTATTTGATATATATATATATATATATTATATCAAATAAAAAATTAATGTGTACACCTAATTAAACATCTAATTTATAAAATAAAAACAAAAGTGCATCCACTTCTGCTGGTGGGGAGAATGAATATGGCCATGCAAGTAGATTTTTTGCTTTGTAATTAACTTGATTTATTTTTATATATTTTTCATTTTTATCAAATATTTGATTGTTTGTTGTTAGGAAAATCATATCATCACCAAATATCCAAATTCCATTATTTGGGTTGAAAACAAATTAAATAATTTAATTTGGCGAACAAGCTTGTATATATTAATGTCATGGGGAAGTCAGGAGTGATATGGAGGACTTCCTTGATTAAGGTAAGTTAGGTGCATATAATAAATACATACCCAATGACATTGTGATCTAGTGACACGAAGTGGCTTAGTAGGCTGAGAAAGCAGTTATAAACATATACTACATTGTAACAGAGTCAGTAGTATGAAAATGCGACCACTTTTTTTTTTTTTTTTTTTTTTTTTTTTTTTTTTTTTTAATCTGATAAAAACCATCTAATTTTGTCAGATATAAAGTTGAGTTTGTTCTTAGTTTCCTCTCTGAGGATGTGTTCTCATGGGATCCAAAGTCTATTCACACACACGCGCGCACACACACACACACACACACACAAGATCAAATGCCAAGGAGGTCTACAGATAAAACATGCAGATTAATCATAGCCATTGATCCTGTCAAAATCAACTGTCTAGAATGAACATTAAAAAAACGCGGTGGCATTATGACAATTTTGTATATTGTTAAAAGCTTAAGGTGTGTATTATCAAATCTTAAGGTGCGTCATTTAATACTTACGGTGCACCATTTTAACACTTAAAGTGTGTCAGTTATACACTTGAAAACTTAAGGTGCGCCAGTTCTAAAACTTAAGGTGCGTATTTTCAAAGCTTAAAGTGCGTCATTTTAATACTTAAGGTGTGTCATTTTAACACTTAAGGTATGTCATTTTAATACTTAAGGTGCATCATTTTTAACACTAAAGGTGCGTCATTTTAACACTAAAGGTGCGCCATTTTAACACTTAAGGTGCATCATTGTAACACTTAAGGTGAACCATTTTAACACTTGGAATTAAGACCTTTGTACCAGGACTTGATCCGGACAGTATTTGAGCTTCTAAAACATGATCCGCCAACTTTGAAATAATCATCCTTGTACCATTGCACAACCCCAATGAGTGATCAATATTTCTTAAGAGCATAACTGGTGAGCCAACTTTTAGAGTCAATGAGTGATTTGGAACTCCAGAACATCGTAAGCCATTTAAAAATTCCGGTGTGTGCAGATCAGCCAGCATGTCAACATTAGAATCAGATTTGCATACCGAATCACAACTGATATACATCCTTCCTTCAGCATTGTTATAGTCATTCATGTATTCGTTGACTGTATCTACAACATCCAAAGTTGGTGCCAGGATGGCACGATCTTTTAGATATTCATGATCTCTGTGGCCACTGCGAAACATAGGGAATGTGCTATCAACAATTGTAGCAATAGGATCCTCTCCACACGTGAGCAAAAATTGTTCAGGAATATTTATCTGAGAGAAGGATTCTCCATCCATTGAATCACCAATTGTTCCATCACCTATATTAGCAATCCACTTTGCAAAATTCGCAATATCTTGAACTTCACTATCTGATTTCAAAGCCCTAAGCCGTAGATTCTTTGTTTACCTAAACACTTTATAGCTTCTCCAAAGATAGGATGAATTTATACTTGCTCGCACAATATCTTGCCTCGTGCCCTTTGGAATGACTGGTAGAGTCTGTCTGAAATCTCCACCTAACACCACTATTTTCCACCAAAAGTCATATCGAAGCTATTTGGATTTTTGGCACGCATTATATCTCTCATAGATCGGCCAAAGCTTCAAAGCAGAATTATGCATCATTGGTGCCTCGTCCCAAATGATCAACCTACTTTGCATAATCAAGTGTGCCAAAGGACTGCTTTGGCTGATATTGCAGGTTGAATCTTCATTAACAGCGATCTGTATTGCGAACCTTGAATGTGCAGTTCTACCCCCGGGTAATAGAAGAGAAGCTATGCCACTTGATGCAACATTCAAAACTATCTCACCCTTTGACCTTATAGCAGAAGATAATGCTCTCCACAAGAATGTTTTTCCCGTTCCACCGTATCCATAAACAAAAAAGAGTCCTCCAAGATTATTCTCAGAATCTTGCAATACGTTGTCATATATTGTTTTTTGCTCTTCAGTTAGTTTCTCCACCAAAGTATCATTCTCTTCCTTCATTACATTAATATCATATGCCAATTCCTCCCGTATCAACCGATTGGTTGTTCTAGAAAGATTAACTAAATTGGGTATCGGCATCCCCTGAAAGTCTTTCAAACTTTTTCCCATAGTGATCTAGTCAATAGCCTATTAGATAAATCTCTCTCTCTCTAAGTGTATTAAGGTTATCTCAATTCTATAACTGAATGATTAATCACTTCCATTCTCATCTGGTATCAGTTAGCCAATAGAAATCTATTGTTACTGAATGATTAATCGCTTCCATTCTCATCTGGTATCAGTTAGCCAGTAGAAATCTATTGTTTTCTTCTCTCCCCTCCTTCCGTTTGACGATGTCTCAAAGTTCCGAACTATGACTCACCACCACCACTATCTCCTCCCCAAACACCACCCCAAAATCCCTTCCCAGTGCACACCATTTTGTGTCACTAAAACTCACCCATCGGAACTATTTATACTGGAGGACCCAGATTATCCCGTTTCTACGCGGCCAGCGATTACTTGGCTTCATCGACAGATCGCGCCCTTGCCCAGCTCCGTTCGTCGAACTCCTCGTCGTTGAGCAGTCCGACGACACCGCCTCCATCCTATCCTTGCTCATGTCATCGATCTTGAAGGAGGTGATGTATATCTCACACTTGGCCAGACAACTTCCCGGGCAGTATGGCTTGCGGCGGAGACAGCACTTGGTTCTTCTTCACAGGTTCGCTGCCTCAATCTCATGGGGCAGTTCCAGTCGCTTCGACAGGGGATAGCTCGACACCGGAGTATCTCGGGCGTGCACAACATCTGGTCGAGGACCTAGTGCTCGCCGGACGGCCGATGACGTTGTCGGAGTAGAATTTATACGTTTTCCGAGGGCTGCGGTCGGAGTTCCGATCGATAGCAGCTTACCTGGCGGTCACTGGTATACCGGTGACGATCCCGCAACTAGCGGATTACTTATAGGCACAACAATTCATCCACGCGGATGATTTTCCGATCTACCAGCCGGTAACGACGGGCGGTGTTCCCTCGGCGTTGTATGCCGGCCGGGGTGGACGGCAGCATGGCAATGGCGGCTGTGGTCAGTCCCGCGATGGTGGGGGTCGCGGCGGCAATCAGCGAGGAGGACGTAGCGGTCGTGGTCGGAGCGGCGGTCTGCGCTGTCAGATCTGCAGGTCACAAGGTCACTTGGCGGCCTTCTGCTATCGGAGATATTCCGAACCGCCACCCTCCCAGGTGCACGTGGCAATCGCTGGAGATGGAGGGGCGACGTAGGCAGTGACGTCCTGGCTGCCGGGCACTGGCGCCTCCACGCACGCAACTCCAGATTCCGGCGTGGTCTCACAGTCCGAGGAGTATCACGGGGACGATGTCCTCAGAGTGGGTAATGGCACAGGTTTGGATCTCGCGTGTGGGATATGCAGTTATTCCTTCGGTCACTAAACCATTAAAATTATCTAACGTTTTACATGTCCTTGAGTTGTCGGTTTCTTTATTATCTGTAAATCATTTTACAAAAGATAATAATTGTTTTTTTGAGTTTCACCCGAGTTTTTTTGTTGTGAAGGAGTCCATCACACAGGCGGTTCTCCTTTAAGGTCAAAGCTCGGGGGGGTTATACTCGTTGTCGGTTTCTAACTCACATAATGCGTTCGTCGCTGCTCGTGCCTCGTCCTCAGTCTGGCATCAGCGTCTCGGTCACCCACATGAACAAGCCCTCAAACGTGTCTTACGGGAATGCCCGGTTGAAACAAATAAAAATGTAATCCCTGGTTTATGTTCGTCGTGTCAACTTGGGAAATCCTCTCGATTCCCGCTAGATAGGGTAGCCAAGTCTAGCAATAATATTTTAGATCTCGTTTATACTGATATTTGGGGCCCCGCACCTGTTCTTTCCGCGGATGGCTCGCGATATTTTGTACTCTTCGTAGATGATAACACCCGCTATTATTGGTATTATCCTTTACGACTCAAAACCGATATATACAAAATCTTTGATGTTTTTCGGGCGACGGTAGAACGTACGTTTTCACGTTCTATCAAGTCCATTCAGTCTGATTTGGGGGGGGGGGGGGGAGGGGGGGGAGTACCAAAAATTGCACAGACTTTTTACGACCTTAGGGATTGTGCACAGGCAGTCATGTGCCTATACACACGAATAAAATGGGCGTGTTGAGCACCGGCATCGGCATATTGTCGAGACTGATCTTGCCCTGATGGCCCAAGCGTCTGTCCCACTCCGTCATTGGGATCACGCATTCGAGACAGCCACATATCTTATAAACCGATTACCGTCTGCCTCACTACAGTTTGATACACCTTATTACCGATTATATCAGTCATCACCCACTTACACATATTTACGTGTATTCGGGTGTCTTTGTTTCCCGTATCTCCGTCCCTACAACCGACATAAAATCGAGTACCGGTCAAGTCCGTGTGTCTTCTTAGGTTACCCACCATCTTTTAGGGGTTACCACTGCATGGACCTAAACACCGGGAAAACTTACATCTGTCGTCATGTCCGCTTTGACGAAACTAACTTCCCTTTTGCAGCTAGCAGTTCAGTGCAGTCAACGACGCACTCGCCCGTACCCAGCTTACCGTGGGGGTCCAGTCCCGTTTGGCATAACGGTGACTCACCTCAATCACCGACCGCCACCACTACTCCGGCTCCGGCCCCCGTGGTCAAGAGACGTAGGCGTAAGGTCCAGCCACAAGAGTGGGCTCATGTTATGCGGCTTCAGCGCATGACACAGGGAACTGAGGAGCAGTTTCATACTCTCATGGCGTCCACCGATGACCCTACTTGCTATTCTCAGGCGGTGGGGCATCCACAGTGGCGAGACGTAATGGACCAAGAGTTCAACGCGTTACTACACAACAACACATGGACACTTGTACCTGCTACTCCTGGCATGAACATAGTAGGGTGCAAATGGGTTTTTCGCACCAAGCGGAATGTCGATGGCACAGTGGAGCGCTACAAAGCCCGACTAGTCGCCAAAGGCTACAATCAAGTAGCAGGCCTGGATTTCTTTGAGACATTTAGCCCGGTTGTTAAACCGACTACGGTTCAGCTACTACTAGCTTTAGCCATTTCCCGTGGGTGGACACTCCGACAGTTGGATGTCCACAATGCTTTTTTTGAACGGGCACCTGGCTGAAACCGTCTACATGCGGCAACCGCCTGGATATGAAGACCCTGATCACCCCGATCATATCTGTCACTTGCAGTGTTCCCTGTATGGGTTGAAACAGGCACCCCGGGTCTGGTTTAAACGCCTACATGATTTCTTGATTCTCACAGGGTTTGTTGCTTCAAAAACATATGTGTCTCTGTTCCACTACTCGGCCTCCGATTCCAGGGTCTTCCTACTCGTGTATGTGGATGATATTATTATGCTCGGGAGTGATACAGCCTTGGTTGATTCCTTGCTACGGCAACTGGCAACGGAATTCAAGATCCGAGACCTCAGGAAACCCACATTCTTTCTTGGTATAGAAACCATCACTGTTCCGGATGGTATGATTCTATCCCAACGGCGTTATATGCGGGATATTCTTCAGCGAGCTGGCATGACTGATTGTAAAGCCTTAGCCACACCAGCATCTGTGACTCATCCTTGTGTCAAATCGCCGATTTTTTTGCCAATCCAACGCAATACTGCCGTCTAGCTGGGGTTCTACAATACCTTACCATCACACGTCCAAATTTGTCCTATTCTGTCAACCGACTCTTCCAGTTTATGCATTCACCTACTGACGAACACTGGGCCTACTGAAGCGTGTCCTACGCTATGTTAAGGGTACTTTGGAGTATGGTTTTCGCATCACTACGTCTGTGTCGTCTGATATACATGCATACTCCGATTCTGACTGGGCTGGCTGTGCAGTTGATCGCAAGTCCATCAGTGGCTACGCTGTGTTCTTTGGGAAAAATCTGGTCTCCTGGGTCTCTCGGAAGCAACGTACAGTTGCTCGCTCTTCGACTGAAGCTGAGTACAAGGGTCTTGCTGATGTTTGTGCTGAGGTCACTTGGGTTGTGTCTTTATTACGGGATCTTGGCTTAGGCCCTACTGCTCCACCTACACTGTGGTGTGATAACCTGGGAGCTACTTACCTGTGTGCGAATCCGGTCTTTCACGCTCGCACCAAGCATGTTGAGGTTGACTACCACTTTGTCCGGGACAAAGTCTCCGCTGGCAAGTTCCAGGTTCACTTCGTGTCTACCAAGGATCAACTTGCAGATATCTTCACCAAGCCACTTCCAGCAGCTCGGTTCTCTGTTCTTCGTGACAAGCTCAATGTGGTTGCTTACCTACCTTGTGCTTGAGGGGGAGTATTAGACAATATTATTATTATGTATTTATTTATGTACATTCTGTTAGTGATCTAGTCAATAGCCTATTAGATAGCTCTCTCTCTCTAAGTGTATTAAGGTTATCTCAATTCTGTAACTGAATGATTAATCGCTTCCATTCTCATCAGGGTAAAATACCACGCACTTAAGAGTAATGGTGGAAATGCACACACGAATCCAAATTTATAAGCAATTATTGTGATCAAGTAAACAAAAATTAAAAATAAGAATTATCTCATTCTCGTGGTGAATCACTTCTAAATCCTTGAAGCACAATAAGCAATTAATTAAATCCCCTTATCTCCCCTATCCTATTTCATAGAAGGAAATAGTGTTTATGCAAAATGAGTGGCTTATAAATATGTATTCTAGGCTTGAGGGGCGTATTAGGACTCTGTATTCTAGGCTGCTAGGCACACTAGAATTACTTGTCATTCTCCCTGTATTATTGAGATATATCCTTTACCATTCCTGTCCTGCTTGGGCCTCTTTATATCCTTATAAATACATGATTGCAGTATATTTCTCAAACAAATAATTACCCGGAGTAACGGGTTATCGATCCACATGGAAGTGTGGCGTATCAAACACTAGCTACTAATCTATTCATGAGAAGCTAATCTGATCCTAACGAAGAGAGTGATTGATTAATGGTAAAACTAATTTAAAAACAAAGAAGCATGTTTTTGAAAACAATAGAGAGAAAATGAGATTCCTGGGATTCAAGTGCTTAATCACCTAGTGTCAATCTTAAGAACAA